GAGTTGCCCTGTGGCATGTGGGATCTTCCTGGACCAGGGATCAAACTGTGTCCCCTGCACTGACAGCAGATTCTTTTTTTTTGTTTTAATTAAAAAAAATTTATTTTATTATTTGGCTGCACCAGGTCTTTTTTTTTTGCACCAGGTCTTAATTGTGACCTGTGGGATCTAGTTCCCTCAAGAGGGACTGAACTCCCTGCATTGGGAGCATGGAGTCTTAGCCACTGGACCACCACGAAGTCCCTAAAATTTTTTTAATGTTAATTTTTAAAATTGAAATATAGTTGATTTGCAGTGTTTCAGGCGTACAGCAAAGTGATTCAGTTTTTAATATATATGTGTATGTATATGTATATAGATACTAAAGGTGGCGCTAGTGGTAAAGAACTCGTCTGGCAGGCAGATTCTTAACCACTGGACCATCAGGGAAGTCCGGAAAAGATGTTTTTAACTTCATTTTACACAAGGGGCGACTTCATGAGGTTACCTTCCTAGAGTCTCTTCCTGTGGAAACGAGGGTAGAGCAAGGCCATAGCATGTTTGCCGCATGACTCCTTTTTCACTCTCTGCCTGACCCAGTTTTCCTGATCCTTGTGCAGCTAGGATCCCCAGCTGCTGAGATGCAGGAAGGAGTAGGTTCTCCTTTCCTTTCTGCAATATCACCCTAACAGTAAAGGGGATGGACCCAAATGTGCTCAAATTTGGAAGCTACATGGATGTCTGTTATCACTGTGTTGTACTCTGTAGATATAGGCCTACGGTTCTGATTGGCCCACATGGCCACAGAAGGTGGACGAGGCCTTCTCTGGGAGAGTGGCAGGATAGAGTACAATACAGACAAAATATTTGAAGAAATAATAGCTAAAAAGCTTGGTGAAAGACAAATCTACATATTTATGAAGCTGAGTAAACTCCAAACAGGAAAAATCCAAAGAAATCCATACTGAAACAAATCATAATCTAAATGCTGAAAACAAACGGCAAAGAAAAAAATGGAAAGTAGCCAGAGAAAAATGACACATTATTGACAGGAGACCAATGATTTGAATGACTACGTTTTTCTCATCAGACACCACAGAGGTCAGAAGGAAGCGGCACAACATTTTAAAAGCACTGAAGGAAAAGAAATGTCAACTTAGGGATAAAGGTGAAATAAAGACATTCTCAGCTGAAAGCAAAGTAACAGAATTAATAGCCAGCAGATCTGCTCTAAAAGAATTGCTGAACAAGATTCATCAGATAGAAGGAAAATTACATAAGAAGGAAACTTGGAACAATGTACTATTTTTCCCCTCCAGAATTCTTTAAAATATATCTAATGGTTGAAAGTAAAAAATACAACACCGTCTGATGGGATTTTCAATGTATATAGATGCTATATACTTACTATATATAGGGGTAAAAGTAAAGGGATCTATATGGTGGGAAGGTTTCTACATTCCAACTGAAGTGCTAAAAAATTGATTCTAGGTATTTATTTTGTAATCCCTAAGCAACCACTAAAAAATTATACAAAAAGATAAAATCATAATATGATTTTATGAATGTTTAAATGACCCAAAAGAAGGTAGGAAAGGGAAACAAAGGAATAAAAAAGAGGAGAAAAAGCAGATGATAAATAATAAAAGAGTTGACCCAAGTCCAGACATAGCAATAATTACATTAAACATAAATAGTCTAAGCACATCAATTAAAAGACAGATTGGCAGGGTGGATTAAAAAACATAACTATATATGTTTATAAAAACACTACTTCAAATATAAATACATAATGCGTTTACAGATTAGAAGACTCAAATTGTAAAGATGCCAATTTCCCCCTAACTGATTTACATATTTAATGCAAGTAATAATAAAAAAGCAGGATTGTTTGTGTCTCTCTGTGTGTAGTTATAGACAAGTTGCTGCTACAATTTACATGAAAGAGCAAAGGAACTAGACAAGCTAAAACAGTTTTGGAAAAAAAAAATGAAGTTGGAGGAATCATACACCTGATTTTAAGACTTGTTATAAAGGTACAGTAATCAAAACTGTGGTATTGGTGAAGGGAAACAAGCACAAAAATCGACAGAACAGAATCCAGAAATAGACGCAACCACTCACGATAACCAGAGCTGGGGATACTGCGGTGAACAAATCAAAGACTGAAGGTAAATGACAAGGCTCTTGGGCTTTTCTTAAAACAAAACAAAACTCACATCTGGCAATAGCTGGCCTATATTCCCCTGGAGCTGAGTGCTGACAATTTCTTCAACACAAGACATTGCATGCCCCAGTGTGTCACAGCTTCCAGGGCACCTTTCTGTTTCTCTTGATACCAAGATTCCATTAGATGCAATTTATTATCCCACTTACATGACTGTCCTATTGTTTTCTCTCAGAAATCTGTTTCTCTGGATCTATGTCTCTATTAAAAGATGGAGGAAGAAAAGGTAAACAAGGAAGACTATGGGTTTTAAAAGAAGGTATTTTTTCTTTACAGAAGGGCAATATATTCTCATGATTTTAATATGTACACATCATCTCCTTACTTCCACATGTTGAGTGTTGCTTGACTCCTAGACTGGTAGAACAATGTAAACAAAAAGTGATATAAATAACTATAGCTGTAGAGTGGTCTAAGAAGTTGGAGGGGTGGGTGGTGTTTGGGTAGCTGAGTCTGCAAGGTCCCAGGAAGGCTCCATTAGGGGAGCGAAAGCCAAGAAGAAGCAATTGTGCAATAGTGGACCCCTCAAGAGCCTCTCACTGTTACTTCAGATAACACATGGCACCCTTCTGTATACTCTTGTGTAACTCTCATTTATAGTCTTCTGTAATAGATGGTTGTCTTTTTTTTTTTGGTTAATGTCTTAAAAGCAGAGATTAGTTATGTTTCTTTTGTGTCCCCATGGTTTATTACAATGTCTGATATGTTTTATGTATTCAGTAACTTTTAAAATTACAGTTGACACTGGAACATAACGCAGGGGGCTATGGGTGCTGACCCTTCATGCAGCTGAAAAATCCATGTATAATTTCTAGTCAGCCCTCTGTATCCACGGTTCCTTTGTATCTTTAGTTCCTCTGTATCCACAGATTCAAACAACACGAAGTTTGACAAAAAATAGTTTCAACACAAAGAAATGCATCCAAAAAGAACCAAATGAACTGTGAAAAATATATGATTGGCCTCTGAAAACAGCTGTACAGCCAGGTTAGGTTTTCTTAGTTACAGTGAAACTGGAATTGATAGGTGCATCTGGGATAACAATTCTGATACAAAATGATGCACCACAATGTACTTATTCAGGATAAAGATTCTAAACTAATAGGTCAAGCCAATAAGGAAGACTTCTATTTCTGACAAACATGGTTATTCAATATCATTAATGTGTGTTAGAATTTGATCTTTTCAATTATGGTCATCAAAATGACCCCAAACAGAAGAGGATCACTTTCTATTACTGTTTTGGGAAAAAATTTTAAATCAAATAGTAACTGATGCTTGAGTTTAATCCATGATTAAGTCTGAAATGCTGTACGGATTCTTTACCAGCTGAGCTACCAGGGAAGCCCAAAGTGCGTGTTGCCTCCCCGATGGGGAATCCTGGTCTCCCGCATGACAGGCTGGGTACTCACCACTATACAATGAGGATGGTGTACCATATCAACTCTTTGATAAAATATATGCAGAAAGAGCAAAGAAGCTGTGTGTGTGTGTGTGTGTGAGTTGCTCAGTTGTGTCCAACTCTTTGCAACCCCATGGACTGTAGCCTGCCAGGCTCCTCTGTCCATGGAATTCTCCAGGCAAGAATACTGGGGTGGGTTGCCATTCCCTTCTCCAGGTGATCTTCCTGACCCAGGAATTGAACCCAGGTCTCTTGCATTGGAGGCAGATTCCTTTTTACTGTGTGAGCCACCAGGGAAGCCCAAACAAGCAGCAGATGACTTCAAAGTGTTCAACAATAACATAAATTACTGTTTTTATTATTACTCAAATACTTTTACAAATTAACTCTCTTTGAAGAGATTGGCAACGTAGCTTCACCACATTAGGTTATATAAAACATAGATATAATGTGAAGCTTTTCAAGTCCTTAAACACCAATTAAAAAACTCAGTAGGGGTGGAAGAGATAGGGCTCTAAAAATAAAAATTCTGAACATTCATAATCAGAGGTAACAGGAATAAAATAAAAAAGAATTATTGTAGATTATTTTTTTAAGGTATACAGCAGGACACTCACACACTTATGTATTTAATTTAGAAAGCATAACAACATAGTGAATATCCCAACCCCACAACCTCATCACTAGGTAACTGCAAGAGTTCTTATCTCTCCTTGTATGTTCTTCCCCATTCCATCTTTTTCTCTCACCTCCCCAAATCCCCACTGCAATGAAGCAATCACTGCCTCTTTTGTGGCATTGGTAAGAAAAAACTCTGGGAACATTTTTAAGAGTGAAATTAATGCAAATTCATCTTAAGTAGAAGAACTTGTTTAGATCTGTCTCCTACTCATATAGTGTGGATAGCAAGCAGCATCCCTGCTGCTATGAAATCTTATGTTGGCAACAACCCTGTTAAAAATGAGTTATTTTACTCTCTTATAAGTCTTTGCAAAATGGATTTTTATGTGACCTCATCCTCAAATATTCTATTAAGCTGATCAAAATAAGCCTAATTTTTTTTTCAGCTTCTGAAAATAAAGACGTTTAAGCATACCAGAGCATACCATTTCTATTAGAATATACTTAGTGGTGGTGTGTGTGCTCAGTTGTGTCTGACTCTTTGCAACTCCATGGACTGTAGCCCACCAGGCTCCTCAGTCCATGGAATTTTCCAAGTAAGAATACTGGAGTGGGTTGCTATTTCCTACTCCAGGTGATTTTCTGGACCTAGGGATAGAACATGAGTCTTCCATGTCTCCTGTATTAGCAGGTGGATTCTTTACCACTGAGCCACCTGGGAAGCCCCCAGATATACTCAAGAACAGATTAAAATACTTATAGGCAACTCACCTCATGCAAATTCAGTTCTTTTACTTTTTCTTTTAATATAACCTGTAAGACAAAAAAGTATGCTTTTATGCCCGTTTTTATCTGTAATTTAAAATATGTCTCATTTTACTCACAAATATTTTTCTTTTATATTCTTGTGTATATAGCTCATATCACCTCATATTCAGTATTGGGGAGAATCTCTTTTACAGTTTGAGACAGAACATTTCAGCAATATTCTTTTAACTTGAGCACTGGTGCAATATTCTTCTGAAAAGCAATTTTAAAATCTCTTTGAGAACAGATTAAATTTTGGGAGACAACATTAATACATGCCAATCTGGAGTAATTGCTAATATGGGCAGGAGGGAGTAAATGAGATTGCTTGCCTCATGATTTGGTAAAACACAGTTTTGACTCATGGGACTGACTGGTAATTTGTAAAAGAATGAAAGGTAAGGTCAACCTTAATTTTTGAAGCTTTGCTTATTATTATACATTACTATCCTCAGAAAACTTTAGCTCTATCCAGAGTTATATAAATGGGCTTGAAATTCATCCAGGTGCTGTTCCTAACCTAACTTTATGGAGACTGCATGCATGCATGCTCAATTGTGTCCGACTCTTTGCCACCCCATGGGCAGCAGCCCAACAGGTTCCTCTGTCCATGGGATTCTCCCCTGAGAATACTGGAGTGAGTTGCCATTTCCTCCTCCAGGGCATCTTCCCAACCCAGGGATCAAACCCATGTCTCCTGCACTGGCAGGTAGATTCTTTACCACTGAGTCACCTGGGAAGCCCAAAGGAAACCATAAACAAAATGAAAAGATAACCTACAGACTGGGAGAAAATATGTGTCACAATTGACTGAAACAGTCACAAATGATGTGACTGAAGAGGGCTTAATTTCCAAGTTATACAAACAACTCTTACAACTCAGTAACAAAAAACAACCCAATTGAAAAATGGGCAGAAAACCTAAATAAACATTTCTCCAAAGAAGACATACAGATGGCCAACAGTCACATGAAAAGATGCTCAATACTAATTATCAGAGAAATGCAAATCAAAACTACAAGGAGTGCCACCTCACACCAGTCAGAATGGCCAGCATTAAGAAATCTACAAGTAACAAATGCTGGAGAGGGTGTGGAAAAAAAGGGAATTCTCCTGTGCTGTTGGTGGGAACTTAAGTTGGTACAGCCACTAACTATGGAAAACAGTATAAAGGTTTCTCAAAAAACAATTTGAGACAAAACTGAGACAAACAGATTCATTCCATTAGAAAACTAAGACATTTATCTCTGTAAATGAATCTCACAGTACCCATGGAGAAGAGTGAGGTCACCTATGAATATCAGTGTGGACATCTAAGGAACTCACCAATGAGCTCAGATTTCAAAGCAACACAGACAAAAGATGGGCAAAAAGATACGTAATTCTAAAATGATGACATGGTTCTGTAACATCAGTATCAGCAAGATTAAAGACCCAAATAAACTGAAGTTTGTGCCCCTGCTACTTTCTGCCTCCCAACTACTGAGGATGACAAAAATAATTTCAAAAGAAAATTAAGGAACACCTAGGCCCACTGTTTGGTGTCAGTGGTAAAATATTAATGGACGACACATGGAAGAAAAAAAAAATTTTACGGGCCTTCAAGAAAAGTTAAATTTATTACCTTAAAGAACAAATCAGCAAAGGAACAGAACTAAGGGCAAGGAATTAACAATGACAGAAGTATCTGGACTTCTCAGTGGTATGATGTGAACTAATATTTAACGTAAAAGGGGAAGAGATGAGATCAGTATAATAACAACTGGTTACCTCCAAGGAACTAGTATGTTTTTTAACAAGGAGGAAGGTAAAAAATTCATTTACTGGACCTCTGAACTCCATTAGAATAACAGTAACTTTAGGATTTTAAGCTACAGCATGTTCGCCAGAGTTCCCTGTTAAATTGTATTATTTTATCATTTGAACTTTCTATAACTTCAAGTAATACTTAAGAATACGTAAAGTGAAGTGTATTGTACTGCAAACTGACAAGCAAAATACTAAAATGAACACAAGCAAATCCAGTCTCAGTTCAAAATATGCGTGGAAATCTGAGCCCTCATTATTTGGTGAAAAACATGATCAAAGCCGGTCTTAAGTAAATCTCTCTCACCTGTTTGTAGGCATAAAATTCTTTGTGTGCTTGATGTCTTAGCCTAAAAGACAGAAATGAGCAATGCAATGTTGAGATTTCCATATAAGACTTTGAAAAAAATTTTAAACTTCCTATTTTTGGTATCAATTTGTATAACTTATAGTTTAAAATCTAGAAGCTTTATTCTAGAATACACTCAAATGACATACCCACTACTATGTTATGAGAAAGTGACCAGTGAATTAGAGAACATTATCCAAACATACAAGATTAAGTGAAATCTCATTAAAACAAAATCTCAAATATTTTAATGAAGCCTCAATTCTTTTTCTATTTATGATATAATATTTAATATATCACATTTTTCTTAATTAAAAATTGAAGTATAATATACATCTAACAATGAACAAAAGCCTCAAGAATACAAATATTAAAAAAATAACTATACACACTAATATAACTATCACCCAGATCAGTACATAGAACATTTCTAGCATCCCTGAAATGACTCTTCCCAATCAATATTCACCCCTAAAACTCCTAATTTTTATCATTGTAGATTAACTATGATTGTTTTTGAACTTCACATAAATGGATCATTTGGTGTATACTCTTCTGTGTTGACTTCTGTCAATCAACAATTACTTGAGAAATACATCCATGTTGCTGCAGTAATTGTTATTTTTGACTGACACAGTGTTCCATTTTATGAATAAATATGAAACTATCCATTTCACTGTTGACAAATATTTAGTTTTCTTTCAGTTTGGGGCTGTTACAAATAAAGCTGCTATACAAATTCTTCTGTGTGTGTTTTAGTGGACACATAGATTCATTTCTGTTGAGTATATACCTAGGAGTAGAACTGCTGCTCCAAAGTGCTTGTACAAATTTTACTCCTATGGGTAGGTAGTATACATGAAAGTTCTAGTTGTTCCACGTCTTTGCCACAGTTTGGTAAGGTCAGTTTAAAACTTTTTGGCCAATCTGGTGAGTGTTCAGTGGTATCTCATTTTGGTTTTCTTTTTCTTTTTTTGATGTGGACTTTTAAAGAAAAGGTCTTAATTTAATTTGTTAGAATACTGCTTCTGTTTTATGTTTTGGTTTTTTGGCTACAAGGCATGTGGTATCTTAAGTGCTTGACCAGGGACTGAACTCACATCCCCTACATTAGAAGGTGAAGTCCTAACCACTGGCCTGCCAGAGAAATACCCTCTCATTTTGGTTTTAATTTTGCATTTCCCAAATGATGTTTAGTACCCTTTCATATGCCTATTGCCTGATTGGATACTTCTTTTTGAGGCAGGGCAGTGAAGCAGAAAAGGATAGCTTTATTGTTTTGTCAGGCAAAGGGAGACAGGACAGGTTTCTGCCTCGAAAAACTATGTGTCTCAACCCCAGAGAACTTGAGGCTTTTTATAAGGGCTCAAAGGTGGGATCTGACAAGATTAGGGTGTGAGCAGGGCTTGTACTCCTTTAATCTCAAGAATCCTGCAATGCAGGAGACCTGGGTTTGATTCCTGGGTCGGGAAGATCTGTTGGAGAAGGGATAGGCTACCCACTCTAGTATTCTTGGGCTTCCCTGGTGGCTCAGCTGGTAAAGAATCACCTGTAATGTGGGAGACCTGAGTTCTATCCCTGGGTTGGGAAGATCCCCTGGAGAAGGGAACGGCTACCCACTCCAGTATTCTGGCATGGAGAATTCCGTGGACAGAATAGTCCATGGAGTCACAGTCAGACATGAGAGACTTTCGCTTAATCTCATCTCAGGTGACAGGTCTCCTAATCTTGATGGGCTTCTCTGGTCCCTTTAATCTTGCCTCACTGGTTTCTTGGCTGCTGCCCCTCCTTTGATTAGCAACTGTTTTAATCCCCCCTTTGGAACTCAGGGAAGGTCATGGGAGACTGAAGTCTTGCCTACAAGAAATGGGAGACAGGGAGGGGACATATGTATACTTATGGCTGATTCATGTTGATGTTTGACAGACAACAAAATTCTGTAAAGCAGTTATCCTTCAACCAAAAAATAAATAAATTAAAAAAAGAAATGGGAGACAGAAAGGCCTCCATTCTTGGGAGCCCCATAGGGCCCTGCCTGGTTTCAAGATCACACCTGGTCTCTGGATATAATGAAGCTCTGCTTCTTGACTGCAGAAAGACTTTAAAGTCTCATTGCAGAAAGACTTCAGTGAGAGACAAAGTAAGAAGTGGGTTTATTTAGAAAGAAACACACTCCACAGACAGTGTGGGCCATCCCAGAAGGTGAGAGCTGCCTGGATATATTCTTTTATGAAATGCCTATTCAAGTATTTTGTCCATTTAAGAAAATGAATTGACTGTCTTTTCCTTATTGATTTGTAGAAGTTCTTTAAATATTTTAGATGCAAGGCCTCTGTTGGGTACTGCAATTATTTTCTCCTACTCTATGGCTTTTTTCATTTTTTTAATGTTATCTTTTGATGAACAACAGCTTTTAAATTAAGCCCAGTTGGGTTTCCCAGGTGGCTCAGTGGTAAAGAATCTGTCTGCTAATGGAGGACACTCAGGTTCGATTCCTGAGTCAGGAAGATCACCTGGAGGAGGAAATAGCAACCCACTCCAGTATTATTGCCTGGATAATTCCATGGACAGAGGAGCCTGGCAGGCTACAGTCCATGTGGTCACAAACAGTTGGACAATGACTGAGCACACATGCGCCACTTTATCAACTCTTCCCTGTTTATCAACTCTTTCCAATAACGTCAGTTCTTTTTGTGTGCAGTTAAAGAAATCTTTGTCAACCTCCAGATCATGAAGATAATCTTGTGTGTGTACTGTGAAAATAATTTATTTTACCTATCACATTTAGGTTTATGATCCATCTGAAATTTGTATGTATGACATGAAGTAGAGGTCAAGATTTGTTTTACCCACAGGCAGATTTTCATTCGATTCATTTATTGAAAAGATTCTTCCCCACTGTGTTGCAATGATATATCTGCTGTAAGTCAGATCAGTATGTGGTTCTGTTTCTAGAGTTTCTGTTCTGTCCCATTGGTTTATTTGCCTATTCTTGTGTACTACATTGAACAGAGCCCCCTCAAAATTAATATCAAACTTCTACTTCAGAATGTAACCTTAATTGGAAATATAATTTTTGCAGACTATGTATTAGTTAAAATGAGGTCATATTATGATGAGGGTGGGTCATAAATCCAATATGACTGTTGTTCTTAGAAGAAGATGTGAGGACATACAGAGACACAGGGAAGAAAGCCAGGTGAAGACAAAGGCAGAAACTGAAGTGATGTACCTACCAGTCAAAAAACACAAAGGATTGCTGATAACCACCAGGAACTAAGAGGTAAGGAAAGATCCTCCCCAGATAGCCTTCAGAGGTAGCATGGCCCTGCCAACACCTTAATTTTGAACTCCTAGCCTTTAGAACTGTGAGAGATTAATAAATTTCTGTTGTTTTAAGCCATTTAGCTTGTGGTTCTTTGTTACAGCAACCCTGGGAAACTAATGCACCTTGTGTCAATACCATGCCAGTTTTTTTCTTTTTTTAAAAATAATCTTGGACTGAGAGGATAGCTTCAAAAAATATCAGAGTTCACATATACTTCTCTCCCTAGTTTTCCAATATTCACATCTTACACAACCGTAGTACAATGATCCAAAGCAGGAAATTAACACTGATATTTTGATATTAATACTCATATAGTATTAACCAAACAGATTTTATTTGAATTTCACCAGTTTTTTCACTAATATTTTTTTCCTATCTTATGATCCAATTCAGGATCCCAGTTTGCCTCTAGTTACATCTCCTTAGCTTTTACTAATCTGTGACAGTTCCTTAGTTTTTCCTTGTTTTTCAGGATTCTGATGTATCAAATATGATCACTTGGTTATGGCAGTGTCTACTGGGTCTCCCCATTGTAAAATTATTATTTTCCCCTTTGCAACTGATTGATACCAGTTGCAAATATCAATATGAGTTGGGGGAGAGGTATTGAAATTATGAAAATTTATTTTTTTCTCAAGCTTTCGCCCACTGATTTTACCATCAAGGCATCCTGCTTGCAACAATTCTGTACTGTTTGCCTAGTGGTGGTTTCATAGTTTCCCAATTCCTTGTACATTAACTGGGATTATTCTGTAAGGAAAAGATGCCCCTTCTCCCTCATTTGTTTATGTAAGCATGGACTCATGGATATTTGTGTTAATTTAATATGATCATTATTTTATTGTTCAGAATAGATTTAGGCTTTTAGGCCCTCCTTCAGATTGACTTGTGGCCTTTCAACATGCCCTCATCCTTTTCCATGCATTTTCTAGCTCACTGGCACCAAAACATGTTACAAGCTCATATTTTACTTTCCATGCTCAGTTGTGGAGTTAATGACTTCTCTCAAAGAGCCTTGATTCCTTTTACTACAGAATATCTGGGTGCTGGGTGAACTGCACTCTGTTTTCAGTACTGGACCTTTGTAACAAATTTTGGGGTCTGGTAGAGAAATATCAATAACCTTAGATATGCAGATGACACCACCCTAATGGCAGAAAGTAAAGAGGAACCAAAAAGCCTCTTGATGAAAGTGAAAGAGGAGAGTGAAAAAGTTGGCTTAAAGCTTAACATTCAGAAAACTAAGATCATGGCAACTGGTCCCATCACCTCATGGGAAATAGATGGGGAGACAGTGGAAATAGTGTCAGACTTTATTTTTTTGGGCTCCAAAATCACTGCAGATGGTGACTGCAGCCATGAGATTAAAAGACACTTACTCCTTAGAAGGAGAGTTATGAGCAACTTAGATAGCATATTAAAAAGCAGAGACATTACTTTGCCAACAAAGGTCCGTCTGGTCAAGGCTATGGTTTTTCCAGTGGTCGTGTATGCATGTGAGAGTTGGATGGTGAAGAAAACTAAGCGCCAAAAAATCGATGCTTTTGGACTGTGGTATTGGAGAAGACTCTTGAGAGTCCCTTGGACTGCAAGGAGATCCAACCAGTCCATCCTAAAGGAGATCAGTCCTGGGTGTTCAATGGAAGGACTAATGCTGAAGCTGAAACTCCAGT